CACTGAATTGAATAGTAATCTGTTTGCTTGTGGTAACTGCTAACTGTTGTTATTGGGTGATCCAGAGTAGTGAGAATCATTAGCTGCTTAGTCTTATTTGCGGCATTTCTTACATTTGGCTGCTTTAGAATGTATTAATCACTATTCCAGGTCTAGGCTTTAAAGATCTTCTTTTCAAACAAGTTAGAATCTGGGGGTAGAAGCTCTGGGAGAGCATTTTGTAAACCCTCTAATATTCCGGTATCACCAACATTAGACATGAGAGGAAAGAAGGAAGCTTCGGGAGAGCTTCTAATTACTCGATTCTACCCGAGGCAGGGAAAGATGATTTGGGAAAGCATCTGACCTGACTTGGCAGTGAGACCGTCGGCTTCCCCTCCTCTCCTTTGCCTCTTCGGCTTCGGCTTGGAGTGCAGATAATAACCAGCTAGCTTACTGTACCTAAGGGGGGGAAAGGATGAACAATTTGGATCCATGTTACCAGCCTGGCAGGCTTCTAAAGCACTGCCAGTAGCCAAAATATACACATTAACGAACCCCATCTTGCAACAAATAAGAAAACTACCTTCAAAGTTGTCCTTCATTTTCTTTTTTAGCTATGAAATCTAGTGTTTCTATACCAGCCTGGTAGGCTTCTAAAGCACTGCCAGTAACCAAAATATACACATTTAACGAACCCCATCTTGCAAAAAATAAGAAAACTACCTTCAAAGTTGTCCTCATTTTCTATTTTAGCTATGAAATCCAGCGTTTCTACATTCTGAGAAGATTTTCTTTTCCTGGGCAACAAATTTTAAGTCTCATTGCATTTTAATTTGGCTGGTTTTCTTGGTTGTCTGTTCTTTTTTTTTTTTTTTTTTTAACTTAATGGTCCATGATCTCTGGAATGATTTGTTTTAGTTAGAAAATCAGAAGATTATATTGACTGTTAATTAGATGAGAGTTTCTTTAAAACTAACTTGATGACATCCATGGAAACAACTTTTCAATCCTTCAAAGGTTTCAAGTTCCATGACAATTACTGGAGATGACAAATTACTAGATTAGCTTGCACAGGTGTAAAATTTCCGCTTTTTCTATTGTTTTACATCCTTCAGAGAAATTATTGAGTGTTGTAACTTTCCATTTACTGCAAATACGAGCGATTGATATATTAAACACAGCTGATAACGGAATTTGATGATTGTCAGAGTAGAGTGGTAAGTTGACAGATTGTTTAGTTTCCTGTCAGTATTTCATGAAAGATTTTAATTTGTTTGATGTTGTCATTTGTTTAGGTTGAACTTTATGACTGGCAAATTGGCTTTCCAATTTAGTGTTCCAGTGATGTGTAGTTTCATCACCATTAACTAGAGAAAGGGAAAAAAAAAACAGTTAATCAATTTTTTCCTCATTCTTTACCTGTCTGGAGGTTCATTTAATTTTTTAATGCTTCAACAGATTTTGTCCTGTTTTGGTACATGGTATTGGTGAAAGTTGCACTTAAGAAGATAAAGGCTGTATGATTGTCTTATATTCTCTTCCACAAAGTTGCAAGTTGAACTATTATCTTATAGACAAAATAGAACTTTAGCAAAAAGATCTCTTACTGATTTTTTGTGTCATAGTTGATATTCTTGGTTCTTCATACTAATGCTGATACTTTAATGGCCAGCACAATAGTAGCAGAAACTAGCCAAAGTATGAGGATCATGGATTCTCGGGAATTGCTCTCAAGCATGGATACTCTTAAAGTTCCAATTCATGGTGACGAAGTAGCGGTGAGGGTAGCAGCTGATGTTGCTTCGCTGGAATGTGGTATAAGTGAACTTAAAAGTCTGTGTTGGAGACGCCCAGCCTTAGTGTGTATCATGGCTAAGCCACGGGATTCACCTTCTACTGTGCAACTTTGTGTAGAGAATTATTGCTTGCTTATTAAGCAAGATGATCTGGGTTATGTTCCTGAATCACTAAGAGATTTTTTGGCTAATCCAGAAATATGTTTTGTAAATGTTGGTCCTGACAGGTTGTATCTCGGGCCATTCTTCCTGGAAAGAAATGGGATTGAGTTCAGTCATTTAGTTTACAGGGTTCTAAGGAAGCATTATTTTAGCAGATGGGGGTTGAAGCCTCTTGCAGATGAAGTTGGAGTTGTTCTTGAAGAATATCCTGCTAGGTTTGGCCTAGACTGCAGGACTGAAGCTTTCTCTGCTGAGGATGTCAAGTGGGCCATTTATCATGTCTATGCATCTTTTAGGATCAGTAGTAAACTCTTTGGTTCACTTTAAACTTCCTTTTTCTTTTATTTTAGTAAGCTATTTCTTCTTTTACAATTTTCGTAATTTTTCAAACAGTTGTAAAACTGTTAAACCTACCATTTTTCTTCCCTCCCTCTCTGTTTGTTTCGACCGCAATGTATCATGTATTTGTAACGGTTCACAACATGGCATCCGCTTGGACGACTTGAACCTCCCTTCTCCATAGTGGTGGTGCATGTTTACTTATTTGTTGCTAAATAGTCTGTACTTCAGGAATGCAGTAGCAGTAACTTTGGTGCCTAGCAAGTCAGTTAGATATTCTAACGTGTTATTGTGTAACACTTATCACAAAGGGCTGACTCTATGTAGCATTTAGCTATGCAGAACATTAAGATCTAGGAATTTGCAACAGGTTTGATCCATTTTCTAGTCCACACTCTGGCACTCCACGACTCAGTTTCCTGGATGTGGTCTATACTTGCTTATGTAAAACGTCCAGAGGGAAAGAGATTTGGTAGAGTAGCAATGACAAATGAATTTCCTTTTGCTATGCAACAAAGATCTTTTGAGTTTTCTAGGTAGCTAAGAGGTACAAGCCACGCAGAAGTTTGCAGAACCTCAGTTTCCAGGATGCATGACAAAGATGAAAGATGAAATCACCACCCCCTTCTGTTAAGTGGAATGCTGTTTGAGCTTAACCTGAATACTTGGCCACAACTTTAGTTCTGGACTGTAAGTACAATCTCCCATAAGCATGCTTTTTCGAGTTTTTATTATCTCTACAAAGTGCAGAACAGCTATGTATTGAATTGGCTTTCATCATCTCTAATTACATTAGTGAAAGGGCCAAAAAAACATAGAAAGAAATGTTCTGAGGATTCCACAATAGAGTTGTTTGTCATCTTACATTACCTTTCAAGGTACAACAGTTTTCCTGTTGTGAGTTTCTACATTGTGATAGAATTCGCCGTTAATCCCAAGGTCTTTAAACTGTTGATCTCTAGTATCCCATGAAACTACCGTATCAGTTATCCATCTGAAGAAGAATAAGTTTGCCATCCTGTGTAAACCCCAATACCTTCTTTGTCTCAACAATAAACTGTTTAGTCCATGACTTGGTAACATTATACTCCTCCATCACCCATATCTCATAATAGCATTTCATCTCTTCTTGTTCTCTTCCATTAGGAGGGAGATTCCACGAACAGAACAGCGCAAGTAACTCCTCGAATACCAACAGAACCCCATCCGACAAAGGTGAACGTTCAGCAGGCAGAACTATTGCTGAGAACACCTCATTACTGACATGAAATGCCATGATTGCGTCCCAAACCTCATCATCCCTTCTGCTTGCCAGCCAATTTATTGCTCCATCGCACGTTACAGGCCGATGATGAGCATAATCAGCGATACAAGGAACACCTGCCTGGATTGTTCTCCATGAATCAGTGATTAAACTATAAACTTCAACTTCGCAAGCCACTTTGCCCAACATGGTTGCCTTGTTATAGGGGTAATGTAACCAATCCTCACAATCTTATGCTGATCAGTCCATCGACAATATCCTAATACAAGGCTGAAAAACACTTCTGCGTGGCCAAAAAACACATCTCTTGGGAATGCGAGAGAGAAGATAGTTTGGAAACGGTTGGTTGCTGCAGGATTATACAAGAAGAGTTTGGTTCCTAAAATTCTTCTCATCCCAAAGGCTAAACACATTAAACCATGGCATGAACTGCCTATAGAAACAAGTTCATGTGCCTCAATACATCGTAAAGGAAAATGATATTTTCTATGTTCAAGAAACCTCTCGTCTCTAAGTACTAAGCAAAATTGTTTGGATGGCTGATTACTACAAGTAAGACTTTTCTTTCTTTGGCCTGACAAGGATATTACTCGGAAATGAACTTCTATGCATGTGTATGATGATGAAACTTGGGCTGGTGATGAGTGAATGCCATCATTTGCAGACTAGTAAAAATCTTACAAGGTACTCTACTGGCAACCTCACAAGAATTTCGATCAGGATTTCAATCGGGATATGATTGCTGGTGTTGGTTTCTGGGCCATGTTGCCTTGGAATTTCCATGGTTCTGGTGCGTGTATTTGCTAGGAGTGTGTGAAACAATTCATTGCCCCGTAATGGTTTGAGAGAAATTGTTGTATTTGCACCTTTGGATAGGTCGAAAGAGTCAAGAGAGAGCGGCCATGCCTGTTCGCAGACGATGCACCATTATTCTGATGACCTGGTTTCCCAAAAGAGTTGTTTATGCATTTAACAGTAACAGTCATAGTAAAATAGTCATATTGCTTGTTCAGCGATGGGACAACTATTATGTCTGGTGGAAGTGGAAGGTCATGGGTTCAACCCTTATCTCCTATCTTGCGTTCCTCCGATGGAAAAATTCTGTCGATTCCGCATTCCCTTAAATTAGGTTAAAGTAGGTTGTACAAATGTTATCGTTGCGATAAAAAAAAGAAAGAAAGATGGGACAACTATTAATTAATACTTTGTAAGATTTTGATATGTTTTACCGTTCAGTTAAAGGTAAGTCAAGAAGAGTTGATAGATTCACCCAGAAATAGAAAAATTAAATTAAAAAAAATCATATATATATTTTTTTATATATGCCAAAATTAAAATGAATCATAGGTTAACAGGCTAAGAGTAGATAAGTTTTCCATGGAAAAAAAAAAAAAGAGAACTCGTACATCCTAAAATGAGAGGGAATCATAAGGCTTGCTTTAAACCAAGCATTTTGAGACATGTTAACCACACCATCCATATGCCACGGGGCCGGGGGGAGATCAGAACAGAATATTTTTGTTCAAATAAGCTATTAATATTGCTGCACAAGATGCTGATTGTTTCCATTAAGAGGAAATACCAGAACAACAAATCGATAGTTCGATCAAAAAACACTCTTTTATCAATGTATGTTGAGATTCAGTAGCCTACTCGGCAATGAAAGAAGAGATGAACCTGTTAAAAGCCTCTAAACATAAATTACCTCCTCTGCAACTTCTGGTGCTAACGTTGAGCTAACCTGCAACAAAAGCTACATAATGAGTCAAAATCTTAATACACATCTCAAACAGAGATTTCAGTGCCTAAAGAATGTCCACTGCAAAAGTTAGAATAACTTCGCAAGATCTTAGGAGCTAGGAGTCACTTCCCTTGTACAGTATTCACAGGTAAGGCTCTTGGAGAAGGGTACATGGGCTGAGGTAGAGATCTACATCCATGGTCCACTAGTATGAGTAACTCCCTTGAAGAACTCTTCAAGAAAACAATGTACCACTCCCCCTGATAACCACTTGCCTGATTCACTTTCACATGAAAATCATGGCATGCCATCAGATCTTCCATAATCACAACCTATCATAAACGCTCTCTTTCTTGTGGCGAGTACGATCAGGCTTATAGTTCATCTTAATGCCATGTCTGCTGCATACCTGACTTATAGTCCTGTCTTTTTTTCTAACTGATACTGGTCACATAGCCCAAAATTTGGAGCACAAAGACACCCAAAAAAGTGTATGCTCCGTTTCACTTATAAACCATCCAGTAGTTTGTGTTACTTTAAACAGTGCAAACCAACCATTACCACCTCCAAATCTTAAGCTTCTGTACTTCAGCCAGTTATTGGGCTTGAAAAAATCAAACTCGCCAATGTTGAAAGTTACTTGAAGATATATCCTCACATTGAACCATATCTTTGGTCACATTTCATGTGTATGCTGCACTTCCAGAACTGTACATCATTAACTGGTTCATTTGCAGCAACAGTCAAGCGTGCAAAATAAGCATATCAGTACTTCAAATCAATTACCAAACGTGCATAAATCAAGAAAAGACAAGCAAATTAATAAGCAGTCCAACATTGAAAAGGACTAATAATTAAAACTTCCAATTATCACATTACCTATAAGATTGTATAAAATATCTAACATGTCACTAAAATATTATGATCGTAGAGTTTTGGCCACTGAATTCTTAAAACCTTCAAATAGCTCACCCAACTACTAAATCCCTCAACAATTGGTCATTCTGTCTAACGTCATTGTCAAGACTTCTTCATTCAGTTAAATCTAGGATTTTTACCTCTACATAAAATAAATTAAATTATAGAAGCAAAGAAAATTACCATATAACATGGTTAAGAAAATGAAAAGAGATGGAGAAGAAATATGTCAACAAGAATAAGGAAAACACAAATTGATTGATTTTTCTTCTTCTGTCTTTTATCTTTCTTTTATGAGAGTATCATCTGTGGAAATAAATGCCCCTAAACTTAGTCAAATTAAAGAAATTCAATGGCCATAATGGACCGAATGACCATTTGTATACAGAATTATTGACCTATCTGAAACTTCTAATAGTTAAGTGACCAGAACACTAAGATGAGAATAAATTTAGCAGGCTTAGGTAATTTTACCTAACTCATAATAACTCCCCCCACAAGTGGAAACTCTCTGCCATACCTGAAAATAATAGAGGACAAAGTGAGTAACTTTCATTACCAATGCAACATTTCTTTCTTTCTTTGCATAAACAACAAGATTGATAAGGAAAAGCACTTCAGAAGTTAAAGGTCATGCTTTCAAAATGTCTGAATATAAACATATAAAATGTGACGGATTTAAGCTATTCCAGCTGTAGTACTTAAGCTGGAAAGTTAAAACCATAATCAAAATGTCCTACCGCAGGCACCGACAGAAACTGTACAAAACATTATCTAATTAGCAATGAACCAAGCATTTAGGAGAAATTACCATTTAGCATGAGATAAAAGAAGAAACAAGCACAGCTCAGCAACTGTCTTCAAATTTAATGGAAATTCACAAGAAAAAAAACACACGAAAGACATGATCTAGCATGATCTATAATACTTTTTTGGGCCACTTTTTTAGACGGTTGAACAAGGGCCAATGGACCACAAAGAAGGATTGGACTCACACAGAGTCAAAAGAAGTAAGAAAAGTAATTCAATCAGCAATAACGTGTCAAGAAAAAAATGACAAATGGCAAAACCATGATTAAATTTGCAATCAATCTTGATGCATTGACCAAAAAGAAGTTGTTGAATCAAACTTTAATGCTAAAAGAACCAATGCTAACAGTTGCCAATCATCTATGCTTGCATGAATTTGTAACAGATTTACCTGCTGTTAATACAGTTGTAGGAAGAATACAATCAATGCCAGTGATGTAATACCTCCACCTATCACTGGGTCCACAAGTTTCAGATGGAGCGAACTTTGACGGCAACAATTACCTGAAAACAGAAGCAACCCAAGAAAAAAAAGTTTCAGAACAAAGTCAAACAAATTCATTCAACAAAATGAAAATATAGTAAAACAACTATAATAGACTAAAGACTATAGTTCTACTGCACTATAATATAGATATGCTGATATCAGAATGAATATTGCTGTTAATTTTGGAGGATAGAAAATTATAGCTTGCGGTCAAGGATTATGAGTTTCAAAGATTAGATTAGAAGGAACTCAGAATAATTTATGTGACTAAAGCAATAGATTTATTGACCCTTAATATTAGAACCATAAGATATATTTCTTGAACAGATACATATAATATTCTAAGAAACGAGGTCATTATGGGTTCTCCAAATGGCAGAGGAAGCAAAAATAGCATTTATGTACAGAGTAATAATATCACACCTACTTGCTGATATGCTCAAGATGATTTTCCAACCAAAGAAACTCGAATAAGAAGTCTTACACGTTGAACATACCGAGAATTATTTCTGCTAAAATAAGACAGTATTACTCCTTGTTATATATATACACTATGGAGTTTAAGAATCAATCATAGCTATGCCAAAAAAAAAAATCATAGCTATGCAAGAAAGTTTTACTAGAGAACTGCAGAAGTCTTGCCAAGTTTTACCACGACCAATTGAAGTGTCACCAAGGGAAGCAACTGCCAAAAGGAATACGTCATCACTAGGTCTAAATTGTGAACCTAAAAAATCTAGAGCTTCAAAATCTCTTCCCCAGTATGTAAATTTGTTGGCATGCTAAAATGAATTTTGAGAAAACAAAATTTTATATAGCTAAATCAGGTGATATAGAAGCGAAATTTCTTAAAAACTGTATCAGACTATGAAAGCTTAAGGAAAATAAACATGGATGCCAGAGATGTTAGAGAAAGTCTAAAGAGGCACCGGATCAATACATTGGCTTTTCAGAAGATTTGCAAGCCTCTTCTGGATAAAATACTTATGTATGGGGATTATCTAACCCATATTATCTAACTGTAAAATATTCAAAGGATAAAGCATAGCAAAATATGAAGAAAACTCAGCAACTTCCCTTTCGACTCTATTCAATAGATGAGATGCTCATATTTAGTCATGCTGTTTACCTGTATAATTACAATCACTAAGTGTGCTAAGTGTTGATGCATGATTAGGAAATGTCTAACATATATCCAGAACACAAATTCTAGATTTTGGCCGTGGAAATCATCAATGGACACACATAAAGGTGTCAGAATAGTGTAGCTCTCAGCATTTAGCAGGAGTCCAGCATGAAAGACTGAGGCATTTTAAGAAAATTTGATACTCATTAAAGAAAATTGCAAGAACATATGAGCTGTTGGCGAGAATAATCGTTTAAGATAGAAGGTAGGTCGTCTAATAGACAGCAGTGCTAAATCCGAACCATAACCAGACACTGGATGGAAAAACTGTATATGAGTAATAGGAAAATGCCTAATGTCTAAATTTGGATCAACATAGTTGAAGCATATAAAAGAGTAGTAAACCGAGTCACTAGCATTGAGCTGTGCTAGTGCCTGGTGCTAGTGTGATACCAAAAAAAAAACGGAAAGCTGGCTGCCAGTTAACAAAGAAATGGTGATTAGGAGTCTTTCTCATAGCACCATGTAAGGAAGGGGAAATTCTCCGAGAGCGGGTGGGTAGAGCTTTTGTGGTACCAAAGATGCCCAAAAAGCTAAGATAAAAAGTTGGCTTTTAACTCAGAATAAGACCTACTTCACAGAAAGAAAGATGCTAGAATTTCCTATAACAAAACCTAGCAATAATACAAGCCTTTATCACCTATTCAAAGATTTAAAACAACTTTTAGAATTTAGCAAAGACCTCTTACAAGCTTGGGGAAGTTTCTGTATCTCATCTTCTAGTTGCAATTAAAAAGTGCCACTCCATTGCTCATCCAGTGGAGTTCAAAGTAGAACTTTAAAAAACTCATTTGAGCAAGAAACAACATGATCAATTTGGGTAATATGCCTCCTAAAACAAAATGGCCTTCAGGCCTCCACTCCATGAAAAAAGAACCACATATGAGGTCGCACACAAAGAAGTTTTACATAAAACAAGATCAATGTCGGTCTTCTACAGCCAGTCCTAGCTTTCTTCTTTACGTCCCATCCTACTTTTGCACAGTCAATCAGTTATTCAATGCATAAAGACATTTTTCACCCTCTCTGAATTTGCAGCTCATAAAAAGTCCAGCTTGAGTTTAGAACATATACAGGACACATAAGTATACAATAGTTTAGACAAAAAACTAGTGCATTAGGCATCCATTATGCAGAATGTCTGCATGGCATATTGAACTAGAAATGTGTTCTGTATGATATCCATCGAAATTAAAAGTAATGCTTTATTCATGTTAGAATATAAGAGAGAGAGAGAGAGAGAGAGAGAGAGAGAGAAATTTTAATCACGGAAGAAATCCATGAGAAGCATAATCCCAAGGAACATCCTTTCTGTTTACACACATTCTTCCCAGTCAACAAGAAAGACCTAGAGTTAAATATCATTTTTGACCCAAAAACACAAAAAAAAAAAAGAAAAAGAAAAAAGGCTATTGGTTTTACCTCTAATTGTCTAGTAAAAGATTCACAACATAATGATATGAAGACACAAGTCTCCTTATAAGCATCAAACTTCCTCAGATCTCAAAGTCCAATATCTTCAAAGCAAGTCATTGATGCTCAGATACAGCATAAGAAGGATAGCTAACAGTATGCTCCAAAATCCATTCTTCTTGGCCTGCAAAAGGATAGCGAAAGAAGAGAAATACCTGAAAGCTAAATATCAATGTGACATTGGATAAATACAAATTTTAAAGCAAGTGAAATCAAAATTCCACAAAAATTTCATTTAGCATCAGATACAAAGATGTTGATGCATATCAAAGCTCCAGAGTCTCTAAACATATGTTGAGAAGAGCAGATGAAGCCCTTTTATGCAGAAAGACATTTAAAATTCAAAACTTTCCCCACATTAAAAATCAAACAACCTAAGCCTGAAGGGAGGAAAGGTATAGTTGGGATCCAAATATATCTGATAAAGCTTAGAAGTAACTATATTAGCAGAGATAAGGGATCAACACTTCGGGTTTTGTCATAACGATACTCACTTTGAAGGACAAGAATTTCCTCTATCAGTAGAATCAGTTCAAAAAACAAAGAACAGCAATAACTGCAGATTATGTACATTTAACTAAGCCAAGATAAGACCAAAGGAGCTTGAAATGCAAATAGTCCGTGGTTCTAAACATGCTGTGAAACTACTAGCAAAAATTCATAGGTAGGCATTTGTTGCACAACAGATCTGCATACAAAATAGCAGACAAGTAAACACAACCAATTAAGAAACACAAACAGATAAGTTGAAATCATCTTGCCTTTTCTTTTGATCCACAGCTTCCTCTTCCTTTTGTTCATATTTCTAATCCATATGTCCATCCAGGTTAGCTTGTTCATCCAGTAGGAGCAAGCTTTCCATGTATGTTATCAAGAAACAGCTATGCGGGCAATACTTAGGAAGCCCAAGATTCTTCACTTCCTGCTCCTTAAAATCATATGCCACCACTTTTGAATCAGGGGTGAGAAGCAGAATATCACAGTTTTTAGTAACCCCTAGAGACCAAACTATCCTCTGTTCCGTTACCACATTGAACAATCTCTCCCAAGAGTTGGTCACACCATACTCTCTCATCACCCACAAACTCCAAGTACCAGTCCCTTCAAGAGCTGCAAAATTTCCACAAACAAAAAATGCAAGCATGTCCTTGTATTCCTTGAGCAATGGACCTCTATAATCCCCCTCCATCTCTAAATCCGGCAACTCTAGTGTCCTAAAATCTTCACTTTTAACATCAAAAGCCACAATCAAATCTTCATCGTGTCGTTCAGGATGAAATGCAAGCCAATTAACAAACCCATTCACATATAAAATTCGCAATTGGCAGTAAATAATCCAATTAACGACTAAATTCTCAATCTTTCTCCAAGAACCTGTACTCAGATTGTAGACCTCAATCTCAGTCTTCTCCAGGTCATAGGGAGCTTCACAATTTGGGCTATCATATATAATCCTAACCAACTTAAAGACACCTGCATCAAAATCGTAACCACAACCAGGGGAAATCCAACTAAATTCCTTAGATATCCCTTCACAGCTAGAATTCCTAATGGTTATAATTCTCCTAACTGAAGGGTTCCACAAATAGACAACCCGACCGTATAATACGTCATCATTTTCTGTGAGGCAAAGCAATCCAGCACATGAATCAACAACCGAACATGACCCAGATACAAAATCAATGGGGGGTTTCAATTCTAAGACCTTCGCTTATCCATTAGGCCCATCAGATAACAGATGGTATGCAGTTTCTCGCTTTTCCCCGTCCAAAAACATATGAAAAAGATACCCAGTTGATGGATCATCTTTATAACTAGAAAAGCAATTACTAAGGTGGGTTCTAATAAACGATGGAGATCTTATAAATTGACACCATGATTTGCGAATGAAAATGAAATTGGCTAGACTTCTTGAAGGCAATCTTACAAGAATGTCACCGAAGATTACTTCTTCTGGGATGCTTTGATTCCTTTCGCCCGCCAATCGCTGTTTTGCTCAGCCATTGACTCGGATTAATTAGATGGGAGATATCAGGTTGAAGATGGTGGCAGAATTAGCAGCGAATTGGAGAGGTCGCCGTTCGGGGAGCAGAAGAGTTGATTAACTGAAGTGTTTGCCGATTTGGCAGGGAGTTATAAAGTGACAGTGACAGATCGGAAATTTTGGAATTTTGTACTATTGCGTGTCATGAATTCATTTATTAAAGGCCATGGAATGTAATGCTCGAATTTTTTTTTTTAAAACGCTCTAAAAAAACAACTAATTCATGGTTATTACAGAAATACGGTTTCATTTGTATACATCACCTTCTACTATGCAATTTTAGGCTCAAGAAATAGTAAAATACACATAGTTGCATGTGTATTTGAAGATGAGTATAAAACTTGTGAGAAATATATAAAATAAAATTTTACATGATTTTAGCAAAAGCATAAATGATGGATTCTGAACCAACTTCCCTCGCGTAAATTGATGAGTTGATCATTAGGTAAAGCATAAAGTGCAAATCTGGTTACAAGTTAGGATTTCAAACCTTTGCACATGTTTTAAAATTTAAATGGTATGTAGTAGTGCATCCTTTTGGTTTAGAGATAAGATCCTCTTCCTCTAATTTTTCTTAGTCCAATTGATCCCTCCCCTAATATAGGTTAAACCTACGTATAAAACTATAAATGGTCGGTTGTTACTCTGTAGTTTTAGTCAAAGTATGGATAGTTTGATACACATACGCAGAATGTGCTTTTTATTACAAAGTATAAAAATGTAAGAAAAGTAGAAATTGCACATTTTGCATGATACTAGGTAATCAAATTGCTTAATCATGTATAACAATATATTTAGCGCTTTTAAACTTTGAAGTATACAAATATGTTTCCATGAATATCATTAAGCTCTTTTTAACAAAATCCTCAGCTAGTCCGGACTTAAATGTTCAAAATATTGCCCAAATTTAACAAGTTCAATCAAATGACCTAGAGACTACTAAGGTTGAGCATAGCATTAACAAGTTAAAATACTAGAAATGTCTGTGTAACCGAAATCATAAATTCTTGAAGGGAAAAACTTCTACTTGGAAGAAGATAGTTGTCGTCTAAAAATTAGTAAGAAGAAATTTGGAATAAAAAGGACGAGTAACCGTAGAGATTGCTGATTTGGAAGCCAAGCATAAGTGACAATTCGGCATATGGTAATTTTCTTGGATTTGTGCGCCATTGATTCAGTATGGACTACGGCCCATTACGACTGCCGTTACAATTGTTTGTGGCAATTTATTTGATGGAGCCTTATGCCAATGAATTAGTTCCTCATGGATTTGGTGTTTTTAGGATATTTTTTTAAAATCGGCTAGATTTCTTGAAGGCAATCTTACAAGAAGAATGTCTACTTCTTCTGGGAGGCTTTGATTTTTTTCGCCCACCAATTGCTTGTTTTGCTCAGCCATTGATTCGGAATAATTAGATGGGAGATATCGGGATGGAGATGGTGGCAGAATTGGCAGCAAATTGGAACGATCGCCGTTGGGGGAGCAAAAGAGTTGAGTAACTGAAGTGTTTGCTGATTTGGCAGGGCGTCATAAAGCGACAGTGACAGATTGGAAATTTGGAATTTTGTACTATTGTGTGTCGTGAATTCATTTATTCAGGGCCATGGAATTATGCTGTGTGATGAGTGGTTGTGGGTGAAAGGAGAAGAGGTTATAAATTATTTATTTATTAGATGTAATTGAGATTGTGTGTATTATTGAAATTATTTTTGGAGTGTGACTGTAGATTTCAAAAACAAAAACATTTTAAGGAGTCTTACTATAGACTTCAAAATGTGTAGAATATTTCAATTGTGTACACAAAATTTAGCTTTACTAGTAGGGACATTGACCAAATGATCTTGAAGTTTTCAATGCTACTCTCAAGACTTTCCTTTTCCTTTTTTTCATTGTAGGATTTGGAATCTCCTTTAAAGCCAAAAACAAAAAAAATCAACGGCACGACACACGTGCATTGTACGTGTTTTTTACTACAAAGTGCAATAAATCCAATGAGTGTAGAAATGATAATGTTACATGACACGGAGTAATCTACCTGTTTAATGATATATAATAATCTTAGGCAACTTTTTAAGCTTTGAAGCATACAAATATTATTTCCATAAATATCATATAGCTGTTTTAACTAGATCCTTAGCTTGCCCCAAGTTAAATGTTTTGTAACTTTCTAATTTAAACAAGTTTAATCTAGGTGATAATTAATCAAGTAGCTTACTTGAACTCATTAGCAGTTTGGTCAACTGCTTGACTCGAACTCGGCGATGACCGAATTCAAGTCAAGTTTGAACTGCTTGATTGAGATTTCGAGTCAAATTCGAGTACAGATTTGGAAGAATCGAAGGTTCGACAAGCTCTATCGAGTTTTCTATTGAATATTTGATTATTATATTATTATTTTTCAAATTAATATTTTAGGTTTATTTGTTACAATATTTAGCTATCATATATTTCAAAACTGTTTATCGAGTTCGAAGATAAGGCTTGAAAATTTTTTGAGCTCTGACAAGTCAAGCTCGAACTCATAAAAAACTCTAGCAAGTTAAGTTCGAGTTCAAGTTCAACTTAGAATACTCGTTCGACTCGACTTGATATCGCCCCTAGTTTAATTTGGAGACATAGAGACTTCTAAGATTGAGTACACCATCAAGAAACTTGCAATCCTTTGACTCGTTGAACTGATGCATTTTCAATTATAATCAGAACTTCTTAAAAGGAAATAAAATTATGGTATGATATGCAAATGAAAAGAAAATTGGCTAGAATTCTTGAGGGCAATTTTACGAGAAATTTAACAACTATCACTTCTACTGGCAAACTTTTATTGCCATTTTTCTCCTCCAAGGATTACTAGAAACTTACAATGGTGGGATTAATTCTAATAGTTGAGGTTAAGATTCTCTAGGGCTCTGATTCCCTTATCCTTTCTTGTTTTTTAAATTAAATTCCACATCTTTCTTGTTAAAAAAAATTTTAAAAATAAGTATAGAATGGAAATTCTAAAATATCTAACATCCATATATAGCATAGTAATCTAGATATATGAGAGATATAAAATTTCAAAAGAAATCAACTAAAAAATAAAAGAAATTCTCACATAGAAGTTTTAGGAGAAGAGAAAACTCGTACAAAAAATTCCTTCCAACGGACGAAATAAAAACCAGAAAGAGTGTTCTCCCTTATGGAGAAAAGATAAATCTTTATTTCCATACGGGTTTCTAAGCATGTGTACATGTATTGCAATATTGTTGTATTTTGATTATATTCATCGGTTTTGTGTGACTTACATCTTTATTTTTGGTTAATTATTTAGGGGAATAAAGAAGGATCGATAGAGAAAATAGTGGTAGTGTTGTACGTTATAAGAGGCCGACTTGTTAGGAAGCCAAATTGAGAGATGAAATTCTTTTTTTTTTTGTGGAGGGGGAGCGGGTAAGAAGGAGATCTTGATTCTAAAACCTCCTACTTATAATCATTCCTTTCTTACCACTTAACTCAACCCTGCCCAAGATGAAGTTGGTTAAACACTCGGTGGCATGTGCAGCTCATCTAAAGGAACACCGTATTGCTCTTTAGTATTCAGTATCTAATATCAGTTGCACGTATATTCTTTGCATATAAGCGTTTTGTAAAGTAGTCATTGACAAATTAATTTATGATATGTAATTTTTACTTTTTTACCAACTAATACTAATCTATCAAAATCAAAACCAAAACTACGTGCAATCAAGGTAAAATCCTTTCATGTTTTAGTCCCGTTAGAGTCTCCAATGCATATGATTCTCCTTACAGAAGGGTTCTAAAGATTAATAATTTGACAAAAAAAATATCCTTCTTTTCACTAAGCTAAAGAAAGTTACTGCACGAATTGAGCAAGACGAAAATCCAAAATATTCAGGGCTTTTGATTTTAATGTTGCCATAATTATTTGTTTTCCACATCAATAAACATGTTTTAGAGAATCAATTCAGATTGTTTTTCTAGCTAGAACTGCACTAATTAAGATGGACACGAGTATAGCATAGAGATATAATAAAAGTACACCATGATTCATGAACAATATAGTGGGGATATTATCGAATCCTTATACTATATAAGATTGAGATTTAGTGCCTGTTTGATAACATAAAAAAGTGCTGAAACTGAATTCATTCAGACATTCAGATGTTGTGAGTGTTTGATAAATAAAAATTCACCTGCTGAACTTATTAGGTGGTGCTGAATTTGTATGTATTTTTTTTCAGCACAAGAATCGTAGCTGAATGCTTAATTTGATAAGAATCAAGAGATTTACTTCAACTACTTTATCTTATCTACCAAATATATCCCTGTTTGTTAATTACATTCAAAATCCTTATCTAATTAAACAACCTAATATTCCTTATTCAAAATCCTTATCTAATTAAACAAAACAACCTGATATTCTCTATTCAAATTTTTTTTTTAACAATAGTATTTTTTTGCAGTAATTTTCATCCACAAACATTTATATTTTGATATATATATTTTTTGTACAGATAAATATTATTTATGTGATGCAGCTTATCCACACACACGTGGCTTTATGACACTATATCGAAATATTAGATATTGGTTGTCTGATTTTCGAAATGCTTCTCGTCCAAGATCAAAATAAGAACGCTTTAACCAAGCACATGCAAGATTGAGAAATGTAATTGAACGTGCTTTTAGAGTATTAAAAGCTCGTTTTTCCATTCTCAAAAGAATGAAACCATACCCTTTTCCCACACAAAGAAACATTGTCATTGTATGCATTGCTCTTCACAATCATTGTCATTTTCATACCTAACAATTTTAAGTTAATTAAATCATAGGTTTTATTTCCTTTTTGGATTAAAAGATAGAAGGACAAAATTGTACAATCTAACTTATTAAGCATTAAATTATGAATATTTATCAAACAGTATAAATAGATTCAGCATTAAGATTCAGACATTCATATATCTCTTTTCAATGCTTAAAATTCAGCAAATTAATTATTTCAGTATTCAGAATTCAGAATTCAGATTCAGTGTTATCAAACGGAGCCTTAGTCAAAGAGGGTGTTGAATTTCAACCACATGGGCAGGAGTATTTTGGAAATTTGAAAAATGTGTTGCTTTTTTCAACCTTTTGGTACAACTGATTGCAGCATATGTTTGGGTGTTTTTACATTAGAACTCCCATATTTGTACATTTAAAACTTGTATTTATAGACACATCTGGGCATTTGTGGAATGTGGGCTTATTTGGCGATCATTTGTGCATTTGGTCCAATTCATATAAGCGTGTGTTTTTGTGCAATTACTGAAATGAGGTTATTATGTAATTAAAATAGAACCACATTGCTTGCTGATAACCTCAGTAATTGCAGTATAGCTCCATTTCAATTGTCTGAAACACTCATAATTATATCAACACTTATTTTTCTATGTCTGAAGTTTATTAGAAGTTCAGTTGTTGGAAACAGTTTCTCTACTAGCAATAAAACACTATTTATATCCCCATTAAACGGCCAATAATGTGGGTATGCTGCTAAGTTATTGTCTCAATTATGGCTTTTTCAATTCTTCCTCCTTCACATTCTTCTGTTTTCCCCTTTTTTGCTTTCATGGTTGCAGTATTTTTTCAGCATTTACACTCAGCATTTCATAATGGTTTTCAGCAGAAGTTATATTTCCTTAATATTACTTATGTGCTGTTATATTATATTTATCTTCATTTATTTTCTTACCACAGGTGTGACAGCCCCACTTTCCCCTAAGACGAACCAAAGAAATTAGCAAACTGCCTGCCCAACTCTCGCCAGGACTAACGGTGTAGGCAAATACGATCTAAGACGTTTCGGGAAAATAATACGCGCTCACACAAGCCGAAATTGCAAAATAGCTAAACGCAAACTAAACCGTCGGTGAATAGTGGGTTCCATGTCATATAACTCGAAAAAATATTTCCAACTAAATAGGACACATAAACGGGGTTAAAACAGTGTTATACACATACGTTTGTAAATTTACAAAACAAAAGGGAGATAATTGAATCAAAATACATTTAGGATTTTGCCCAAAAGGAGCTATTCAAATTACAGTCACATAAGCTCAACTCGGCAACCAACATGCATAGCCTTTCCAAAAGGATTCAAATTCCTGTAAGGAAAACAAAAGGAATATAGTGAGTTTACGCCCAGTGAGACATTACCACTCAAGCAACGAAGATCATATAAGCAGATAGCATTTCATTCCAATTCATCTAATAAAAGTAAGCCAAGAGTACACATCAATAAAATTGGTAAAAGGATACAGACGGCTCTCAAGAGCCCCTTTCCTTGCTTGTATACTTGATCGGACTTCATTGACCCTCCGTCAATGTTTACGAGTAACCAACCGTAGGCTCCACTTTAC